AACATTTGCAAGAGTTTCACGGATTGAGGGCGGACGGTTTTCAAAATGTGGTTCTCGCCTTTGCTCTGGGCACATTTGTCTGTAGCGCTTGTGAGAGTTTCACGGATTCAGGGCAGTTCCTTTTCAACATGTGGCTCTTGTCTTAGCGCCGCGCACATTCGTCTGACACGTGTGCAAGAGTTTCACGGATTCCCTTGGTCAACTTACCAGAAATGGCGCTTTGGAGCGCGTCGGCATTGTCAGTGCGCAGCATTAATGTCGATTCGCGGTGCTGAAGTTCCAGGAATTGTTTTCTGGCACGATTCCGGAACGTCAAGACGCAACAGTCACGTTAGTTCGTGGCGTTGGGGTCCCAAGAACGGTGTTTTGACATGCCTCAGGATCTTTAGACGGTTGTCTCCCAACAGGGCAGTTCTTTCAGTGGAAATGAACCCTTGTATGGGGGCTATGAAGAGGGAGCTTGGAGGGAGGGTTTATTGCAACATCGTTGATGAGGCTTGGGTTTGCACTGGTGCTCCTCCTTCTCCTCCCCGACGCCCCTCCCTGTGCTCCAAATGGCCGTCCCGGAGTGGTTCCGTGCGTTGGCAAGGGCAAGGGCAACAAGGGCAAGGGCTACTTGCCTGACGATGGGTGTGTCGCAGCTGCTGCTGATAATGGAGGCCCTGACCCATGGTACCGCGCCGAAGGTCTCCTTGATGCTGCTCGGCCGTCTGGCCGTGCAGATGTTCGTGATCATGACCATGTTCTCACACGCATGGATCCTTGGGCTGAGGATCCTGCCCAGCAGGCGCGCCGCCGCCGCGAAGATTAAGGAGCTGCGGCTCGCGCTCGCATTGCTGCTCGCACGGCTTCTCCTGATCGAGATCCATGGTTAACAGGTTCCGACTCTTAGAGCATGGAACAAAGGCAGGGACACTGCGAGGCCCGCCCGCGGAGTGGGCCGGCGCCGGCCCACGGCGCTGCCTTCAGTGGCTGTTGCCGCCGCCGCCTCCGTCGTCCGTCCGTCGTCGTCCTCGCCGTCGTCCTTCGTCGTCGCCATCGTGTCGATGGTTGCTGCGTTTCTCTCTGCCGGTGCTCGGGGGTGGCAATGTCATGTTTCCCGGTGGAGCTGGGTGAAATTCCGTGCCCGCCGGTGTGACTGACTGATTGACTGACTGGCTGACTGACTGAACGTCAGGAGAGCACTTCTGACAAAACTGAACGTCAGGAGAGCACTTCTGACAAAGCGTTTCAAACCGCCCGGGAACGCGAAACCGCGACCGGGCGACGCATTTCAACCCGCCCGCGCGCGCAGGCGCAACCGCAACTGGGCGACGCATTTCAACCCGCCCGCGCGCGCAACCGCGACCGCAACTGGGCGACGCAGTTCGACCCGCCCGCGCGCGCAACCGCAAGCGCAATTGGGCGACGCACTTCAACCCGCCCGCGCAACCTCAACCGTAATCAGGCGACGCATGTGAACCCGCCCGCGCAACCGCGACCGCAAGCGCAACCAGGCGACACATTTCAACCCGCCCGCGCGCGCAACCGCAAACGGGCGACGCATTTCAACCCGCCCGCGCGCGCAACTGCAACCGCAACAAGGCGACTCATGTACATGTCAACCCGCCCGCGCAAACGCAACCGCAACCGCAACCGGGCGACGCATTTCAACCCAGCCGCACAAACGCAACCGCAACCGCAACTGGGCGACACATTTCAACCCGCCCGCGCGCGCGACCGCAACTGCAACCGGGCGACACATCTCAACCCGCCCGCGCGCGCAACCGCGACCGCAACTGGGCGACGCATTTCAACCTGCCCGCGCGCGCAACCGCGACCGCAACTGGGCGACACATTTCAACCCGCCCGCGCAACCGCAATCGCAACCGCAACCGGGCGACGCATTTCAACCCGCCTTCGCGCGCAACCGCAACTGCAACTGGGCGACACATTTCAACCCAGCTGCGCGCGCAACCGCAACCGCAACCGGTGGACAAATTTCAACCCAGCCGCGCAACCGCAACCGCAACCGCAACCGGGCGACACATTTCAACCCGCCCGCGCGCGCAACCGGAAGCGCAACCAGGCGACACATTTCAACCCGCCCGCGCAACCGCAACCGCAATTTGGCGACACATTCCAACACGCCCGCGTAACCGCAACCGCAACCGCAACTTGGCGACACATTTCAACCCGCCCTCGCGCGCAGCCGCAACCGCAACCGCAACCAGGCGACCCATTTTAGCCCGCCCGCGCGCGCAACCGCCACCGCCACCGCAGCCAGGCGACACATTTCAACCCAGCCGCGCAACCACAACCGCAACCAGGCGGCATTATTCAACCCGCCCGCGCACCGCAACCAGGCGACACATGTCAACCTGTCCGCGCAAACGCAAGCGCAACCAGGCGACACATTTCAACCCAGCCGCGCAACCGCAACTGCAACCAGGCGGCACAACTCAACCGCCCGCGCAACCGCAACCGCAACCGCAATTTGGCGACACATTTCAACCCGCCGCCGCCGCCGCGCGGCGGCAGCGGCGGCGGCGGCGGCGGCGGCGGCGGCGGCGGAGGAGGAGGAGGAGGAGGAGGAGGAGGAGGAGGAAGAGGAATAATAATAATAATAAGAATAATAATAACAATAATAATAAGAATAATAAAGATAATAATAATAACAATACTAATAATAAGAAGAATGAGACTAAGAAGAAGAATACTAATATTTTCAATCATAAAAAGAAGAATCATACTCATAATAATAATACTAATAAGAAGAATCATAATAATGTTACTAATAATAATAATCATAATAATAATATGAGTAGTAATAATAATAACAATAATAACAATAATATTATATAACTGTTAACAATAATAACAATACTAATAATAGTACTAATAATAATAATCATAAGAGTAGTACTAATGAAAGTACTAATAATAGTAGTATTAACACCAACAACAGCAGTACTAATAATACTAATAATAATAATACTGATATTATTATTATTATTATTATTATTGTTATTATTATTATTAGTAATAATAATAATAATAACTAATAATAATGATAATGATGATCATGAGGATGATGATGATGATGATGATGATGATGATGATGATGATGATGATGATGATGATGATGATGATGATGATGATGATGATGATGATGATGATGATGATGATGATGATGATGATGATGGTGATGATGATGATAATAATAATAACAATGATACTACTAATAAGAAAAATTATACGAATAATAATAATAATCAGAAGAAAAGGAGGAGGACGAGGACGCGGCTCCTCGCCGGGACATTGCAGCGGGGAATCTCCATTCCACGCTGCTGCCTCTGATTGAGGGGGAGGGAGTGTATTCGCAGATGGAACAGTGATAGGCCCTCCCCGAAGGGGAAGAGGGAACATGGAAGAGGAAACGCTCTAAGCCACTCACGCCCAGATCTCTGGTGGGACTACAGCCGTGGTCTGCGGCCAGAAAATCTGAAGCTCAGTGTGACCAACCTGTGCTGGAGGCTGGCTGAACCTATTCCCTCTCCTTTGTTTCCCATGCCCTCTCCTCTTTTCCCTTCCCCTCCGTCCGCCATCATTTTTTCCGCTCTCATGTCCTGAGCCCTCTTGCTTTGGCCCCTTCCTGCTTTGACCCCTCAAATTTTCATCCTCCTTGTGAAGTGTTTATCACTGGCCAGTCGCTTCTCCGGTGCACGCTACGGGGCAGCGTTGCTCTGGTGATTCGCAGTCCTCGAGACAGCGCAGTGACCATCGCCTGGTGGATGTGATGAGCAGAGGAGAGGCTAATCAGGTCCACTCTGACCCTCATGCTCTGATGGCCCCACGCTCTGACACATTCACGTTCTGTCCTGCCTGCTTTGATCCCTCGAGCCGCGGAGCTTCCCGCTAAGCCCAGGGCACCTGCACACTGACGACCACAAGAGGATCCCATCAAACCCTGGCGTGCCCCAGCATTTAGGCGACTGGCAGTCCAGTCGGACCGGTGCCAGCTGGAGCCGATAGGGCTCGATCTAGTGGGACCCCGGCTTGACTTGGTCTGCTCTCGGGTGGTGCGGAGTCCAGTCGGAGCGTGTCCAGCTGGAGCCGAGGGGGCTCGATCGGGTGGACCCCGGCTGGACCGAGCCTCGCCCCGCAGCGCGGCGCTCGCTTGCCCCCTGCCTGCCCACGGGGGGCCATCGCCACCACTGAGTTGGCAGTTTCCGTGGGGCCCTGGCCCCACAGATTGCTTCCGCTGGTCAGTCCGCTCTCCCCCTCCTGTGCTTCCCCCGGCAGGCCCAGAGGTTGACTTCAACACCAACATCGGCGTTGTGCCTCCACCGAGGGAATAAGATCCCGATTTCGGTGGTGGTGGTGGTAATATTCTGGCTTCAAGGTGACCGAAAAATTATCACCAACACCGAAATCTAGGATCATCTTCTCCCTGTGGAGGCAACCCCCTGTGTTGGTGTTGGTGCCCATTTCCAGGCCTCCAATTCCTCGCTCACCCCAGGAGGCAGCATCCTCCGATTCCCCAGGGCTCACTTCTCGCACACGCTTGCCGCACCAGTGTCGAAGGTTGGTGACCACGAGCTGCCGATGGACGTATATAGCACGCCGACTCCCTGCCCATACCTCCTCCTCCTCCTCCTCCTCCTCCTCCTCCTCCTCCTCCTCCTCCTCCTCCTCTCTCCTCCCCTCTCTCCTCCCTCCTCTCTCCTCCCTCCTCCCTCAGTTCTCCTCCCTTCTCTTCTCTTTTCCCTCCTCCTCCTTCTCCTCCTGTTCCCCCTCATCCTCGTCGTGGTTGTGGTGGTGGTGGTGGTGGTGGTGGTGGTCGTCGTCGTCGTTGTTCGTCGTTGTTCGTCGTCGTCGTCGTTTTTCGATGGCGTCGTCGTCGTCGTCGTCGCTCGCGCGGTTGGCGCTGTCGTGCCGCGTCGGCCCGCCCGAGAGAGGCCGACGACACGTCCGTGGTCGTGGCTGAGGTGGTCGAGTGGACGCACTCCCGGCGAGAGGCCCCGCCGCGTCTCCCGAGGGAGGCTCCCCCCCCGCTCCAGGGCGGGGGCGAGGACGAGGAGTCGCTCCTCCTCCTCCTCCTCCTCCTCCTCCTCTTCTTCCTCTTCCTCTTCCTCCTCCTCCTCCTCCTCCCGCCTCTATTGCCGACCAGTGGAAGACAGCAACATCCGAGCATCAGAAAATGGGACATGATCATCGTTGACTCAAAGGCCCCACATGAGTATCCTCCAACGCAAAGGCGCGTGGGATTTGTTCCAGATCTTTTTACTCTCTCTCAGGGGCCAGATCCGTTCGCAAAGTTAGAGTTTCGCCTAACATTTGCTAACGTGCTCACACTACTGCAACCTAAGAAGATCAACTATCTTGGCAAGAACATGAGCAGCAATCATCAACATGGTCCTTGATATGTTGGAGCGTATATGGCGGGTCGTCCTAGACTTGTAGCTGAACAGTTTCGACATTATGACTTTATAGTTGTTGGTATTGCTGAGACTCGCATGCCTAATCCAGGGTGCCATGTCGGGTCTTTTCTGGTATTCCATGGCCCAAGACATGAGTCTGGGAGTCATGGCTGCTCTTTATGATTTCGCTTGCATGAGGAGTTCATTCCAGGCAGAAAGGACACTAGAATTTCCAGGAACAAACTTAACGTTGCGGCTGCTACACCTACACTGCTGGTCGTCAATCTTGCGCTGGCTTCATTCAGTGCTACGTTTTGTGTAGCACACGCACCGCATTCAGGACAGAACAACACTGATACACTTTCATGGTGGACGGATACTACAGCTACTTTGAGAAGAGCGGCTGGCCAGGCCGACTATCTTTTTTACTCATGGATGCCAACGCAACGGTGGGCTCGACAGTCTCAGAGTCTATTGGAAGTGTGGGGACAGAGTTGGAGTCTTTCTGTGGGACTTGTATGCATCAAGTGCTTAGGGAGCTGGATTTGTGTCTGCCGTGTACGTTTCTGGGCCCCGCGGTCGACCACAAAACCTTGATCTCTCCTGGTGGTTTTTTCCCTACACGACGCATAGACTATATTGGCGTACCTAAGAAGTGTTTACAGTACCACCTGATCATTACCTTGTCCAGTTGACAGTCAGCGTGCCTGTGCCTTCGGTTCGGGCCAGCCTAAGTATGTGATCCTCGAAGCCGCAGCTGGACAGGCGCATGCTTCAAGATCCAGAGTGTATACAGGCTTTCACTTTGCATATGCACACATGCCCTGCGCCATCATGGGCGGACCGATCACTGCACGCTTGTCATTCAGCATGTACGTCAAGGAATGGAAGCATGTTTCGTCAACCGCGATCGACAGAACAATGAGCAAGATTGTCGGAGGTCACACTCGGCTATCGTGCGTCGATTCGCTCGCATCGGAGAGGTATTAGACAGGCCAGGCATTTGGTTGCGAAGCTCTGGCATGCAGTTGGTTTTAAGGCCTGGCATGTCCTGGCGACGAAAACGAGGACATCCCGTTGCCGATTGGATTTCAAAGAAGCATCGCAGCCTTCTTGCGCTTGCAGGTAGAGTTTGAAGCTTTGCCAATGGAGTTGCCCAGTCTTTGTTGGCCGACAACTTCATGTGCGACGGCGACAGGTTCTGTAATGCTCGAAATCGGGTTAACCGGTTCAGGTTATCGGCGATGTTCCGAGGTTTACAGTTCATCACGTAGGTTATCGGTGCTGGTCGGGCTTGGCTTTCCTGCGTCGGCTGCTATCACATCGCTTACAGGATCTACATTTCATCGTACTACAGCCTCTCAATCGAGCAGCACAGGGGCATTCGCGTCGAGATGACGATCGGTCCCTCAACGACTTGGCTGATTCGATCGGGGATTTCTTGTCTGCTAAGGAGTTTGGCGATGCGTTTGCCGTGTTGCGGAGGCTTGGTGCGGCTGGCAAACGACATCGCCAGGCTAATGTGCTACCCGCTGTTGAAGTTCCAACTGGCGAGCTTGTTTCTATGGTCAAGCAGGCTACGGAGCTATGGCTGGAACATTTTTTCGCGCAGGAGCTAGCGGCCAAGGTTGCGCCGCAGGCTTTCATGGGCACCTTTTGCGACGGGTGCCTGGGGCAGGACACGGCAAACATGCGCATTCAAAACATCCCTATTCTCCGAGATTTTCATAGGGAACTCAGAGGTACTAAGCATAGTGCTGGTGGTTCTGACGGGCTACATGGTTCGTTTGTACGTGCATGTGCTAGTACATTGGCTAAGGCGCACTATGCATTGGTTGTCAAGGCTGGCCTTCTCGTATCAGAACCTCTACGCTGGAAAGGCGGCGATTTGCCTCGGATACCAAAGGCAAAAGACAATGTATATACTACGGCAGCATCAAGGTCAGTTCTAGTTGCTTCGCACATAGGCAAGACACATCGCGCAAGTCTACGGCGCAAATTAATGCCGGCGATGCAACAGGCAGTGGGTGATCACCAACAGGCAGGTATACCCGGTAGAGGCACGCAGCTGGCACTCCTTGCGGCCAGAGTATGGTAAAAGTACTCGCAGAAGGCTGGGCTATGTCTGGCTATGCTGTTTGTGGATGTCATGAACGCTTTTTTATTTTGCTATTCGTGAGCTTGTGCTCAAGACAGATCGCGCGCCTGTGTCTTTAACGGCGTTGCTGGCAGTGGCTGGGCTTCCAGAGGCATGCTTGCCATTGCTCGCGCAGCGACTTCAAGAATTGCCGTGCTTGCGTCGACATGACCTCAGCGATCACTTTATGGTTATGGTCAGGGAGGCTTTTAGGTTGGGTTGGTTTTTATTCACTGGGGCCGCGCGCGTTGCCGCGGCTTTCCGAGGTGCTCGTCCAGGGGTGCCGTTCGGAGACGCACTGTTTCTTTTCATCATTGCTGAGGTTATGAATGGCGTGGCTAGGGAGGTCCAGGCGATGGACATCATGTTCGCCCTGGACGCACCGGAAGCGAACATCTTTGGGGATGCTGCTGATGACTTGACGGTTCCTTGTCCTGGTCAAGTTTACGCAACGAATCCATGTTTGCGTTCTTGGCTTCTTTGGGAGACTTTGAGCGGCACCTCGAAGATTGTTGCAGGATTGTTTTACATTCTTTTGCTCCCGCTGGTTCTGTTCCCCGCCTGGGGGCAGGCAAAACTGAGATTCTGCTCCGTCTGCATTGCCCAGGATCGGCTGCGTTTCGGCGACGTGTTTTTTCGTGGCCTGGGTGCTCGCTTGCCTGTGCGCGTGCTCATATGTGGTGGCACTCGCATACGCGCTGTGCGCAGGTCAGTGTATCTCGGTGCTGTGCTTACGGACAGGGCAGTACTTGGCCCTGAGCTTGTGCGCAGAGAGGCAGAGGCGCGTGTTCCGCTTACTCTTTTGAGCAGGGCGTTTAGAAGAGCATCTAGTAATACATGTTTGCCCGAACGGGTCTTTACATATTCGCTAGTACTGAACTCAGCGCTGTATGGGGCAGGGGCATGGTTTGATCTATATGGAAAAGACGTTGTTACCCTTTGAACTACTCACGCTAAAAGGTATAGAAGGATATTGCGTCTTCCTAGGTTTGAAGCGCGCGAACCTACGGATGAAGAGGTCATGGTTATTTAATCGCTTCGCTCATGCCGCCGGCCCTGGAGCCCTCTTTAGGGCCTCTTGGGGGCCTCTTGGGGACCTCTTGGGAGTCTCTTGGGGCTCCTTGGCGGCGTTTTGGAGGCCCCCAGGGCCTCTTGGGGGGCTCTTGGGGGTAGTCGATTGCGGCTCCCCCCTCGGAGGCCACGATCCTCGTGAGGGGTGTCGAAAAATACCCTCCCCTGGAGTGGTCTGGTGGCTTCTCCCGGGCTTCTCTCGGGACCTTGCCGGGGTACTTTTCGTCCGGGGGCCCCCAGGGGCCGCTCCGCGCGCGCGAACTAGAAATATTGTTAACAAGTTACCGGAGATCTTAGCACGCCTCTGGCCCGTTGGGCCGGCGAATTGCTGCTCGCCCTTTCTGCTCGCCCTTCTATAACACTAGTTCTTCGAATATTTCGTCTATGTTCGTTTGGTCAAGTTTTGAGTTCGGCCCCTGGCCCGCTATTGGCATTGCTGCACTCAGACTGCAAACAAGCACATGGCACTAAAAGGAAGTCTTGGTTACATCATGTTTAGGCTGACTTGCTGTGGTCGAGGGCTAGCCACCACTCCCATGTTCCCTCTCCCACCGCAGTTGCGGACCCTCAGATGTGGGTGAACAAGGTCAAGTCAACGCCGCAGGCATGGAAACGCACCCTGGCTGAAGCGTTCAAAGCCTGCGTCGAAAAGGCCAGGAAGGATGCATATGGAGCTCGATGGCGAAGAAGGGTGCTGTCGAATTTGCAGAGGGCGGGCCTCCCACCGGCCCGAGATGTTCAGGACGACCCGCAAGTTCCCGAAATGAGGTGCCCATTCTGTGAGTTTAAAGCCCTATCCGTCCCGTCATTGGATGCGCGCTTTCGTTCTTTACACGTTGCGGTGACAGGGCTGGCGAGACGGCGCGTGTCTGGGCCGACATGTGCCGCTTGCCGCCGCACCTTCTCCTCGGGGTCTCTTCTTCTCAGACATGTCACCTCGTGGGCACCGTCTTGCTTGGTTTTTCTACTTGATGCACGTGCCTGTTCTTTCAAGCGAAGAACAGAAAAGGTTGGCTCTGGAGGAGCATCGAGTCAACCAGCAGGCACGTAGGAGGGGGTACTCCACGTCACATGCAGATGTGCCGTCACGTGTGCTTCCAGGCCCCATCGATCCAGTCGCTCGGATGGTGCAGGACACGTACACGCGTGAGCAGGCTCAGTTATCTATACAGAGCACACTTCAGCATGCCACATGTTGGGCTAGGCAGTGGCTCCAGCAGTTTGAGGTGGGACAGCCAGCTCCTGGATCCGTCCGTGGTCTTTTCTTAGATTGGCCTTTCGAGCGTGAGGCCTACGCTGGATCCCTTGCAGACCCCGTTCCACGTGGATTGATGCGCAGGGCGTTTTTTATTTCTAATTTCTTTTGCGGACAGCGGCGCCAGGGTGACAT